AAAAAAAAAAAAAAAAAAAAAAGTAATCAGTTTTATGTGTCTCCTTATGACATATCCAAGAACTTCTCTAAAAGCAGAATTGCTGGCTCCCAGGGATACCCACCTGACCTTCACTAGATATTGCCAAATTGGTCCCCACAGTGGATATAACAATACGTACTTCCACTAGTCACGTATCAGTGTTGCTATTTGCTGAGTGTTTTCTTTTCAGACTTTTAACATTTTCTCCTACCTGAGGGGCTACAGTTTTTGTTAATACATCCCAGATTATTCATAGCTTTGAGTATTTTTCATATGTTATCACCATTTGGGGTTCTTTCTTTGTAAATTGTTTGTTTACATATCCTCCTACTTTCCTTCTTCTTCCTCTATTGCATTTTTTCATTGGGTTATTTACCTATTTTCTAAATGATACATAGGATTTTTTAAATTATTATTATTATAATTAATTTTACTAATTTTTTATCACAACTTCTCATGGTCTGTGGCTTGTCTTTCACTTTTAAAGAATGTCTTTGTTTGTATACATGATTTACATTTTAATATAGTCATATTTTTTCAGTATTTTCAAGGATGAATCAAACCTGAAGGTGTATGTGCTGGAGGGGGAAGGTATCTTAGGAAATTCTTGCCAAATGATCTTTCTTTTCTCTGTAAAGTGAAAGGGGAGAACAACTCTTAGATATAGCTGTAGAGTTCCTGAGATTCTGCCTTCCGTCACCGTGCGTTAACTGAATCCACACCAAATGGCTAGACCTGGGAGTTGGTTTGGGTTGAGAGGAGGGGGATGAGATAGGATTTCATACATGGAACCCTGCCATACTAGAACTTGCCATCAGAGGACTAATAAGGATTAGACTGTGTAGCTTGGATATACTGCAGTAGAAACTTGAGGAGGGAGAGATTGGAGTAGGGCTAATTGTCTATGGACTGGTTTCATCAGGGCAGACCATATGTCAACTTTTATTTCTTCCTATACGCTTAAGACTCCCAGCGTCAAAATGAATAAATCAATAAAAATTCAAAAATTAAATGAAAGAATCAGGGATACTGCGGCCGCAGGGGCGGAGCCAGGGCCCTTTGCCCGGCTTGGCGGCCGGCTCTGCCTTCCCTATTCTCGCCTCCCGCTCCGCGGTGGCTCCCAGAGGCAGTTCCAAACAGCAGTCCGAGGAGGACCTGCTCCTGCCGGGTTTCAGCCGCAGCGTCTCGGCCAAGTCCTCCACGCTCTTCTTCGGGAACGCGTTCATCGTGTCTGCCATCCCCATCTGGTTATACTGGAGAATACGGCTTATGGATCTTCTTCAGTCTGCTCTTTTGTATAGTGTGATGACCCTAGTAAGCACATATTTGGTAGCCTTTGCATACAGAAATGTGAAATTTGTTCTCAAGCGCAGAGTAGCACAGAAGAGGGAGGATGCTGTTTCCAAAGAAGTGACTCGAAACTTTCTGAAGCTGATAATAGAAAGATGTCTCTGAAGGAGAAAGATGAAAAAATCTTGTGGAAGAAGAATGAAGTTGCTGATTATGAAGCTACATTTTCCATCTTCTGTAACAGCATTCTGTTCCTGGTCTTGGTCACTGTTGCTTCCTTCTTCATATTGAAGAACTTCAACCCCACAGTGAACTACATTTTGTCCGTAAATGCTTCATCAGGACTCATCCCCCTCCTGTCTACTGGCTCCAAGTAGACCATGTCAGCTTACCCCCTGGCCTTGTGTCTATGGGTGGCCTGCGGTATACGGAAAAGTAGCAGGGTAGTCAGGGTGGGAGACACACGAGATGTTTTCACAGTCGAGAGCCTTAAACAACCCAACAGAACGTAATTCAGCATTTGTTTTTTGGCTGTTTTTGACAGATTGTTGAAATTAAATGAATTGAAAGGAAAAAAAAAAAAGAATCACACCATCTTAGGCTGCAAAAAAACATAAGTAAGAGTATTCAAGGATAATATCTTAATGGAAGGAGAAAAGCTATATTAAAATATAATATATAAAATTATATTCAAATTATGCCTACAAAAGGTATTTTTACACTTATTTTAAACCATTGTATTTTATATAGTATATATTATATTTGTAGTAATATAAATGTTTATATTTTATATTTAAAACCATTAAAATTTTTTAAATTGTGGGAAATTTTATTAAAGGAAATTAATAGATAACTGGTGGTCAATTAACCGTGGAAGGCAAATCTTCATCTATAGCTTTCATATCAATATTTTATAAGGAGATTTAGATATAGTAATTATAAAAGAAGTAATTTTATATTTTGATTAAATGTCTTAGGTTGAATTCATTAAATATTAACAGTATCAGAAGTGACTAATTGCCATAAAACTAGATACTTCACTTTATGAATCCAATCTGCACACAAACTAATTTCTCAAAATGACCTTATTATGTAAAAGAATATGACATATATCCAGAAAAAAACTTGCTAACAGATTTATTTAAACTTTCTTTTATCCCTACTGTTGGTTAAATTTCTTCATTTAAAAAGTGCTTAAAACTACATTTAATAAAGTCTGAAAAATTTTTAGACAGTAAATAGCTATATACAGTGAAAACATCTATCTCTTTATCTATATTAAATTTAAGTGTTATACCAATAAAAAATATTTATGAGGTGATATTCTACACAGGGCAATGAGGTAAAAGTAGGTTGAGAATAACTATTCTTGTCATTTTAGGTAAAATAAAAACAAATTTTAAACGTAGGGGAAAAAATAAATGAAATGGAGGCCCACTGAAGTTAAGGTCTCTCTGCAGAAGGTCTAACAGCTAGTGAGAGGCACAATCCATACTGAAGCTACAGATTCCCATCCAGGGTGCTGTTTCCCCTGCTCGTCAAGAATGTTGACATGGAGCCAGGCACGGTGACTCACACCTGTAATCTCAGCATTTTGGAAGGCTGAGGTGGATTAATTGTTTGATCTCAGGAGTTTGAGACCAGCCTGGTCAACATGGCAAAGCCCCATCTCCACCAAAAATACAAAAAATTAGCCAGACATGGTGGCATGCACCTGTGGTTCCAGCTACTTGGGAGGCTGAGGTGGGAGGATCGCTTGAGCCCTAGAGAAGGAGGTTTCAGTGAGCCATGGTTGTGCCAGTACATTCCAGCCTGGGCAACAGAGTGAGACCTCATCTCAAAAAAGAAGAAGAAGAAGAAAGGAGAAAGAGAAGGAGAAGAAGGAGAAGAAAAGAAGAAGGAGAAGAGGAAGAAGAAGAAGAGAAGGAGGAGGAGGAGGAGGAAGAGGAAAAAAGAATGTTGACATATCTTCCTTTGATGGTAAAAGAGAATTTTGAGAGTGATGTGAAGAAAAAAACTAGTAAATCAAAACAGAACATCAACACCCCCAAAGCCCATGACCATTAAATATGGTGTACAAACTGTTAGAAACAGCTATTCTATTCACATCCATTTGTTTGTCTTATGAGGATACAGGAAAATATGTTACCTTCGTTTTGTTTTTCCAGGTAAGATACAAAGAAGTAAAGTGACTTAAGCCAGATCACTTTACAAGTCATAGCAAAAGAGAATAAATTAACACAGTCTTCATGTTCAATACTTTCATAAGCCACAGGATCAATGGCCACATGTAGCCATACATCATAGCCACTTTCTTGTTTCAGTTACACAAATATTGCTGTACTGACTGCCAGGTTAATTGGTTCTACCTAATTTTGCCTGTAGAGAAAGCATCAAAATTGGGCAGCCAATAATGATGAAAAAATAAACCAGAGGTATGTTAACTAAATTGCTCATAATCCACCTGCTATTACAGCTCTTGTTTTTCCTATCTGTATCCTTACCAGCACACGTGAATGTAAAAAATCACTTTCAACTGCCTGTAAAAGACATGCTATCACTAGGATTAATCAAAAGTTCTTTCCGTGATGAAATGCCTAAAATATTCGCTCCTTCTTACTATAGTAATAAACTTATGAAGAAATTGATATCATGTCCAAGTGTTAGAGAAATATCATAACACCAATTACAAGAAATCTTTAGGATATTTGCCAAAGTCAAATATAGCGTTCACTGATACCAAAAATATACTTTCTCTGTGTTCTCAAGGAGATCAAATTTAGTCCAACTAAACAGTCACGTTATCACAGAGGCTCATCTTGCCAGGTGTTGAAGATGCAAAGAACAGAATTTGACTACCCCCCTTGGATATAATGTCTCGAGGCTCCCAGTTCTCAACCGAGTAGTCCAGGGGGCTCTTAACAGATATAAAAACACTAAGGGAGCAGAAAAGAGAAGCAAGGAGCTCTACCCATAAAAGCTGGTGAACTGTCACCAATACCCACCAGAACTGCATCTTTTGGCTGGGTGTGGTGGCTCACCATCTCTACTAAAAACACAAAAACAGTACTAGCCCGGAGTGGTGGCAGGCACCTGTAGTCCCAGCGACTCAGGAATCTGAGGCAGGAGAATCACTTGAACCCAGGAGTTGGAGGTTTGGAGGTTGCAGTGAGCTGAGATCAGACCACTGCACTCCAGCCTGGGTGACAAAGTGAGACTCTGTACCCACCCCCCAAAAAAAGAAAAGAAGGAAGGAAGGAAGGAAAGGAGGGAGGGAGGGAGAGAGAGAGAAAGAAGGAAGGAAAGAAAGAAAGAAAAAGAAAGAAAGAAAGAAAGAAAGAAAGAAAAAGAAAGAAAGAAAGAAAGAAAGAAAGAAAGAAAGAAAGAGAAAGAAAGAAAGAAAGAAAGAAAGAAAGAAAGAAAGAAAGAAAGAAAGAAAGAAAGAAAGAAAGAGAAAGAAAGAAAGAAAGAAAGAAAGAAAGAAAGAAAGAAAGAAAGAAAGAAAGAAAGGAAGGAAGGAAGGAAGAAAGAAAGAGAAAGAAAGAATAAAAGAACTGGGTCTTTAAAGGCATTCTTCCAGGCAGGGAAGTGGGGAAAGGCATGTGAGGTAGAGCAGACACTAGGAGCATGAAAGGGCAGGGCAGGTTTACATATGGTGAGTGTGCCAGTGCTAAGACCATGATGACATCACCAATGGCCTTATATGGTGGGCTAAGAAGGGATTCCAGTGTGTAGGTGTGGGCATGCTAAGATTGGTGTTTCCAGAAGATCAATCTGATAGCCAAGAGTGGAGGACACGTTTCAGGGAAGGAATTCATTCTTAGGCTATTGCATTAGACCAAGTGAGAAATGATGGCAGCCTGGTTTGCAACACAGGGGATGGAGGAAAGGGAATACATCCAATACTTTCAGAGGGGCTTTAAAATTAGTTAAATAACTGTAAGGGAAGAAAGTGATTCCTTCAGCTAAAACTGGAAAAAAAATTAAGAAAAGCATCAGTGTCAAGAAATACAATAAAAGCCAAGGTCAGACAAAAATATAAATTTAAAATCTTCTTTATAGCCAGTCATACATTTACTGCCTGCAAATAGGCTATTTTCAGAAAATGTCATTTATTCTTCCTTTTCTTTCTCTCTCTCTTTCTTTTCTTTTCTTTTTTTTTTTTTTTTTTCTGAAATGGAGTCTCACTCTGTCACCTAGGCTGCAGTACAAACGTATGATGTTAGCTCACTGCAACCTTCGCCTCCCAGGTTCAAGTGAGTCTACTGCCGCAGCCTCCTGAGTAACTGGTACTACAGGCATGCACCACTATGCCTGGCTAATTTTGTATATTTAGCAGAGATGGAGTTTCTCCATGTTGGTCAGGCTGGTCTTGAACTCCTGACCTCAGGCGATCTGCCCGCCTCGGCCTCCCAAAGTGCTGGGATTACAGGTGTGAGCTACTGCACCTGGCCTTTCTTTGTCTTTTTATAAAACTCACTGAAATGACTTTGATGGACTGGAGTAAATCATCACCAATTGTGCCAAAATATTTTGGAGTATTCTTCAACAGAGGAAATGCTTAATCTGTGTACCTGAGATGCTTCTGCATAAGCAAGCTCTCCTACAGCATTATATATCAGAAATCAATTTGAAACAAACATATCATATGCAGGAAGTGCTGAGGCATTTTTCCGTTAGTTTTAATCCAAGGAAAACAAGATGAGAAGGTGATGTTTCACAAGCTCTAATATTGGTAACTTCTGCAAGAGAGATAATGTCAGAGATACCCAAAATAGGAGTGATACTCAAAAATTATCTCTTTTTCCCTGCTGTAGCAGATATTATGATATACTTCCAAGAATCCCTCTTTAGGACTGAGACACTCATTCTCCTAGCAGTTGGGCGTGCTGGTAGCTGACAGCTCTTAGCTGAATTGCTCTTAGTCCCTTTCATAGGGACAGCCCCCATCTATTGGCTGGTCAATTGATGATGGGTGAACATAAAACCCTGGTCCCTTGACTTAAGGGACAGGGGCATCTCAGATACAGAAGGGCCATCCCAGTTCCAGAGCTCCTATAGGACTGATTAAGGCCCCTGTTGCAGCCGCGTAACAGTTCACCTTCTTCATCTGTCCAGACTTGCCCATCAAAATTCATAGGTGATGTTCACAAGGGCACTCTCCAAACACCTCTTGCACAGAAATCTTAGAGTCCTTTCCCCGTGAAACCCAATGTACAAAGCCAACCAGGACCACTGGGAGCCTTTCAAGAGCAGTAATAGAGGATGAGGGTGTCACTGCAAAAGTTCCCTGAATGTTTATAGGTCTTGCATAAAATGAGCCACACTTCCAACTTATGCTCTAAGACTAATAACACAGAGATGTAAAGAGCATACAAGTGGTCTATAGTGGGCTTTAGATATAAAAGAATTTATAAAACAGGGAATCACAGCAAGGACAAACAAACACACCTATATATAAGAACCAAAATGGTAAGTCAGC